CATGTGATGGTGCTTTTGCCTTAAACTCTGAGTCTGTGTAAATCTGTTTTCATCCTAGGTCTTAAAGGGTTTTCTGAGATCATCATTAGCTTTTCCTCACGGGGTTTTACAAGATTGGATGCATGTTGTACCGATTTTACAGACAGAGAAGCTGCACCAGTTATAACTGTGTTTTAAAGGCAAAGAAGGGAGTGCAGCTTTAAGCATCCCAGCTTCTGTGGAGATCAGTGCTTTAACCAGTAATTCACATTGGCCACTCTGCAGATTTAGTGGCAAACTCAGCCAATAAAATCCATGTCATACTTGAATTTACACTTACTTTTGTATTTTTATTTTTATTTTTTAAAAGAACATTGGTCGCATATAGAAGATATGTTTTGTTACCATGTTTAATACTTTCCATGTTCAGGTGCTTTCATCAATTTGCTGATGTACCTGCCCCTTCTGGGCCTGCTCAGCATTTCATGTAGCATTTTTGCAACATTATTGTAGGGACACTTCTTTTTTCTTTCAAGTAGAAAGCAAAGGCATTGCTGTGGCTTCTGACATCAAATGCAGTGTCATTGAAGACTCACAGTGCTCCCTCATTGCTGTGAACTACTGCCAGAAACTTGCATAGGAGTTTAGTGATGATAATGTATGAAAATATCAGAACAAGTCCAAAGTTATGCAAAACCTTCTCAGTCTGGGGTTTCACTACAAATGTTACAATCAGGCCAGGCTAGCAAAAGGCTGCTCCACTTTCCAAGTGGGCACTCAGTGAATATTTTTTTTTGCTTTAAATTTACTCAGGTTTTAAATGCAAGTTATATAGCTTTGTAAGACGTGCCTGCCCTCAGACATTCAGCCCATTTACAATAAAAACATTAGTGGTTTCGCCAGCTGATGTTAACAAATGCAAACAAAAGAGTTTTTTCTGCCAGACTGAAAGCCACCCAGCCACTCTCGAACAATGGCTGTACCCTGCCGTTCAACAGACTCCAGGTCCTTCCAGAGCTGAGCATCACCCATGAAAGCACCATGCCCTCAACCTTCAGACACACAAATTTGAGGGCTGTCAGCTCTGGCTTCCCAGTTAATTCCAGCTTCTGGATTCAAGCACAAGGCAAAAGGATGATCTCTGAAATGTTTTGGGACTGGATCTATTGGCAGAGAGACTGGCTTTTTTATGATTTCACTGAGAAACCAAATGAAACCTGCAAGTGTTAGGGAGAGGTTGAATTTGATCCTTTCAAAGCAGTTTGGCAAAATGGTAGTTTTAGTGGGACTGCATTTTGTGCTGCTTTTTCAAAAGGATCTGGGTAGCTACCACAGTGCTTTACTGATAACTTCAGGGTGACACAGGTTTGTCTCACCTAAAAAGATGGCTGCTAAATCAAACTTACAGAAAGTGACCTGGATATAAACTAATATAGCAGTGTTTGTACAAGTTTGTATGAAACTGAAATAATATGAGATGTGAGCTTTCTACCTGTTAGATAAGGATTCTGAAGCTTAGCTTCTGCTTTTTGTGAGCTGCCATCAGAGCATTTGAGAAAGGCTAGGAGCGTCTGCACAGTTTATTGTGAGTGGTATTATGTTAGCAGCATCACATTTGTATGACTTTTGCACCACAGCAAATGCTTTACAGAATACCAACGGATCATGTCATCTAGTTTGGTTCCTTGATTCATCTTTAAGTTGCTTTTTGTAGTTCTGGGTTCTTTTGAACTCAAAATGGGGAGCTGAACTATCAGAGTGGTACAAAATTTGAGTATAGTTTGCAGAAAACACAATGGAAATCACAGCATTAAGAACAAAAATTCCAGCTGATATACATTTGGTAATTTTCCTTAAGTAATTTTTGACTTCACCTTGCAGAGAAGTTGAATGGCTCAATCTCTCTACCAAAAGCATAACGCAAGGGTCCCCTGGATCCCCAAAGCAGTGGCGAATTTGCCAGGTCAGCTGGTACGTCAGTCTTAGATATGAAAACACAGTTCCCTGTTTAGAATGGAAAGAGCTGGAGACATCCCCCGCCCCCCCCAGGATCCTTGCCTCCTGTGAGAAAAGTCATGATACATCACGCATGTGAGCGATACATCTCTCTCCTTCTGACAGTCGCAAAACTTAAAAGCAGTGATTTGAGGAGAGGTGATAGATACTGCCGGATTGGCCTTCCCCAGTATAGCACACTTCTATTCTTCCAGTGTGTAGCACATAGCTCGTTACGGTTCTGTGCAGAATGATTTCTCTGCATGGCCAGGTGATGTTTAAGGAGACTAATGAGAGAAATGATATGGCCCAGAACACTGGTGTCAGGAAATATATTGCAAGGTGTCTGTCTTGGGGAAGCTGAAAGCGGGGCTTGCCTTATTATATATTTCAAAGGGGATGTCTGTGTCACCACTGAGTTAGACATGCACCCTGTCCCATACTGCATTCAAATTAGATTTTTTCAAATTGTAGCTTTCCATTCAATTTTCATTGGCTTAATGATAGGCTCTGTGTTGTACAGGGGCAAAACAAGAGTCCGTTGCATTGGCACGCTGTTCTTTTGAAGCGGGAACTTGTTTCTGAGGCCATTGTAACATAACTATGCAAGTGTCAGAGGACAGGATAGAGGCTGTTATGGGCTTCTGCTGTTTGTGAGGAAAATCAAACAAATGTCCCCGATGGAAAAAGGAAGCTAGCAGCTGTATGTGATGACCAGAGAATGTTTTTGTGCAGTGACACTGTCAGTACCTGGTCTGTTGTCAAACTGAAAAAACTGCCTTTTTTTTTTTCTGCTGTCAACCGAAGTGGAGAAAACCCCTTTGAATTTTCATGATATACCTTTTCCTCATTTCCAGCACTTAACAATCCAATTATATTTGGTTTTATGCTAGTGTTTGCTTCTATTGCCATTGTTAGGTTTTTGAGTCAGTGTGATTTTTTTATCCTGATGGTGCGGAAGAAAAATATGTTTCGTTATGACTGGTTATAACCCTGGAAATCTTTTCTCTCGCTTGGGTTGATGACAATTTTTTATGTTGCATTCTACACTGATGCCTAAAGTGAAACAGAATGAACCATAAGGAAGAGAAGCTTTGCTAAAATATAGCTCCTTCCGCAGTGTAGAATTATCTTGAAAAAAGCTTGCATCTTCCTAATTTTATGCTTTTTTCCCCCCACTGTTATTCAAGTAGTTTTTACAAATGAATGTTGGTTTTGTAAGGATTGTTTATGAAGCCATTGCTCTTAGCAACCCCCGCTCACCTGTGAACAAATTACATGGCACAGATAAGGTATCTAGTTGTTTCTCGATAGGGTGACCTTATAAACAGATTCTGCAACAAGACAAGCTTTTAAATTCCTAACCAAATATATTACGTGAGTAATAAAAAGAGCTCCTCAAAATGGCCACAGAGGCATTTCAGAGCACATTCTTGGGAATATTCACTTGTGCTAGCATTCATTAAGTTTGCTTTCAGCAAAAATACTCATGAATGAAATTTTATTCACTAGCCATTATGATTATTACTTTACTATCACAGCAATAACCAGATGCTTTGTATAAGGCCAGGACCTGATTTTGTCTAAGGCTGGAGAAACATCTTATAGGGTCTCCAGAGAGTGTATTGTTCTAAATATAAGACCAGACTCAGCTAACAGCTCATGACTGGGAACTGCAAACCCTCAGAGAGCAATGGGTTTGTTTACAAGAAAATTCACAGCTAGAGAAGGATGAATGCAGAACCATACCAAATGTTATACCATTTGAACTATAGTATGTTACATTGTTACAACTCCGCTGAAGGTGAATGTAATTATACATTTTTATGTTATAAAGGTAGTTTAGGTGATGCTGACTAGTCTTATGGATAAAAGGGAGTATCTCTACAGATGCAGTTCATTGCTATACTGGACTAGTTTATCCACGCACTAATGAACACACTGGAACTGGACTGTTCTGTGTTTTTTTTTTTAATTTAAAAAATGGCCTAACCCAAATATATGTACCAGGAAAATCCCTGAAGTGTAGGCTATGCCAAAGAGTTGGACTCTGAGCTGTGCAGTACATGGACTCCCAGAATGTGAATAAAGCCCTTCCTAGAAAAGTTAAATGAGATTTTTAGCTATGCACAGCTGAAGTATGCGTGAAGTCTTGTTTCCTCCAGTCTAGAGGAACATAAAAGAGCAGAGGTATCCTATCACACTAGAGGAGGATGACTGTGGCAGGGCAGTTGCAACTTTTGGCTTTATTAGAGTTTTTCTGTCAGAAACTAGTATGAAAGAAAGCAGTTTTCGTAACAGTAGAATCATTCAGTGGGCATTTTGCAAAGACAAGCCGCCCAAACAGGTTTTATGGTAGAGGAATGCTTACTGTTGTAATGCATTTCTGCAAATATGTTTAAAAAAAAAAAATTAAGAAATGCTATGTTGGTACAAATGTTCATAACTGTACTTTCTCATAAAAAGATGCACCAGTTTACTGAGATCACTTTCTAGTCCTGTCTTGTTAAGCTGGCACAGAAATTATTGTAGATGCAACCCTAAACCTAGATGGTGACTTTCATGCTTTGGACCATGTGAACAAATGAGGATGGTGCCTCCAAGCAGGTGGGCCAACTCCTCCAAGCATGAGTTGTGCCACTTCCACTTGGCAGGTGCACATGGGACCGTGCATGGACTATGTCAATCCCCTTACTGCCAGCAAGTGCCAAAAACTCACCCTGAGGGTGAAAGAAACTCTGTATGGAGCTGGCTATTAGCAATCTGCTGTGAAAATATGTACCTGGTATGTATTGGGGGCAGATCAGTCTCATCCCACAGGGAAGAAAGCAGTGACCGGCTTTTAGTGATGGCATTTCCAGATGATTTATAGAAGTCTCCTCGTTCGGTGAAAGGCTGGTGGCCATTCTGTGGGAGCCAAGTGGGCAGTATAAATAGGAAACAGCTCTCTCCTTCCATCCCCCCATGGGTAAAGGCATTGCTCTGTGACCCATTCTTTGTGCTTCTTCTCATCCTGTATTCTGCAGAGGCGCAGAGATTTTCTTCAGTGGATGCTCGACGCTCGCGACTCAGCTGACTCCCTGGCAGCTGGGTGTTTTGATGTGATCAGTCCATCTGCCGCTTCCAGACAGAACGAAGCACCTCTTGCTGGCAGGGCCCCATCTGAAAAGGTTCAGAAGACTTTAACAGAGGATGAGATAGCAGGCCAAGCTTTCCTGTTCCTGATCGCTGGGTACGAGACCACCACTAGCACACTGTCCTTTGCTACATACTTGCTAGCCACCAACCCAGAGTGCCAGAAGAAGGTGCTTCAGGAGGTTGATGAGTTCTCAGCAAAACACGTGAGTATGATGTGCTGGTGTGGAGCTTCATGCAGGGAGCAAGGCAATGTGCTGTCATCATGCCACTGTGGCACCTGCATGACCCCATTTGTCTCAGTTATGTATGCATATATTAACATTTTATTGATATTTTCAGCCAAAAATTCAAAATTAATCTATATTGTTTAGGTTTTTTTGGAGACTGTTAAATAATGTCACTTTACAGCGACTGAAGAGATGGTCCAGAAACTTTGTGTCGTAGTGAAAGCTTAACCTTTACAAATATTTTACATTATTGAAATAAACTAGCTGTTGCCAGACTCTAAAACTACTCATTTCTATTTTTTCCTGTTGTCCAGATACTTCTATTGTTTTTGTGGTGAATTTTATTTACTGATCTTTGTAAGGACATAAACAGCGTTCTTACAAACCATAAACTGCAAAGTTTTGCTTTAAATGTTCATACTTCACTTTTTTTCTTCAGCAGCAGAATATATGTGTCCGCTTTGAAAAAAATCACAATATCTAATTCTCTTATATTGTGTTCAAATTACTTCTCCTTTGCTATCTGTATTTACCAAGGGCATTTATGTTTCCTGGATAACTGTTGACAATATTTTGTATATCTAGCAGACCATGCAGCAGCCATTCTTCCACCCTACACTCCGCACAAGTTGTTGGTTATGAGAACGCAGATTTGAGGGGCTTTTTCTTTTCATGAACACTTTTATAATGGATCATGAGGCTAACAGGAATAAAATGACACCAGGCATGGCTGTCTTGCAGGATTTTAGCTGCTGGATTTGCATGCTGAAATCCTTAACTATACAGTTTTGGGAGTTTCATACTTTTTACGCATTCCATCCTCTGTGTTGTACTTACAGAACAGGAAAAGAGTTGTATAATTTTCTTTGCTGGTAATAGAAAATTCTTGACTATGCAAAGTGTGCCCATTCAAAAGCTACCATTTCCCTCCTTTTGCGTGTGCAAACATAAAAGCCAGGATTTGTGTACACAGAAAATGTCTTCTTTTGTCTTGCATGACAAGGTTCTGAGCATGGTGGTTCTCTGTCTAAGATTGCTTTTGCTCTGAGGGTGCAGATGGATGACAGCAGTGGAGGTTAGGACTGCGCAATCTGATCCACAGAGCTTTTTCTCGGTGCATGCTTCATACCGCTGGTGTGAGTTAACTCAATACAATGAAACCGTTGATGTGTTATGTTCTAACCTATAGAGCTTGGGTTATATTCTTAGGTTATTAGCTCTGCAACACTTCAACTGGAGCGTATTTACTTGTTTCATTCAAATACGGCAGACCTAATTATGCCCTTGTGTCCGGTTAGTTCAACTGACTTTCTTAAGGCCTGCAAAGGTGTGAAGGTGCAACTTGGTCTGGAGTATGTGCAGTTTACTGGTTAATACTGGTGGCAGAGTTGCACAAAGAAACCCCTGTTTTGCAGCCCCAAGGAAGATACGGTTCATCTCCTCACCAGTTCCTGAAAACTGACAGCCTAAGAAACCGAAGTGAAATTGCTGGGAGAGGTATCCAATATGGTAGATATGCGATGTCATTCATATCTGTCTGTAGATGGGGATATGAATTAGTAAACTTTTCCATGTAAGTGCATAGAAAGCTGACTGCAAGCAGTCAGGCCGATTGCTTACAGATATTTCACACAGGGAGACCATGTATATGGCTATGTCTACATTAACAAGTAGCGTGCTCCTGTAGACACAGGTTCGTCATCTAGCACAGTTGGTAGTGAGGACTGTTGGGTGCACTCTGTACACACCTCAGGAGTTTATTTTGGGTTAGTTCAAGTCTGGCCCTGCGTACCAAATTCCGCTTAGCAATTGGACCGATCTTCTGGTTTAGTTCTAGTTAAAGGAGCCCTTGCTGTGCACTTGGAGACTGCAGTGTGAACCAGTGCAAGAGACTTGCATGTGAGCATGCTCCTGATCCAAGCTAGAGAACTAAATGGACCCTATGTTGTATATCACTCTCTACAACTACCTGAAAGGAGGTTGTAGCGAGGTGGGTGTCGGTCTCTTCTCCCAAGTAACTAGCGATAGGACGAGAGGAAATGGCCTCAAGTTGC